TATATATGGTATAATACAGAAGCTCCTGACTTATGGACAGCGTTCTGTTCTGATGACTGTGTGGTAAGTGAGTCTTGATTTAAGTAGAATGCTTCAATTTTTTGTTTTCATTATCATTGCTTTTTATTCAGTATCTTTATAAATCTGATCTTTTCTTTGGGGGTTGGCATGAGAATAATAACATCAGTAAATTTGGTGCTGCAATATTGTATGTAGTACATATTACTAACAGTAAGATGTACAAAAAAATTTAAAATAAAAAAAAGTAGAGTTAAGTCCCATTCACTGAAACACGAATACATCCTAAGTTGAGGACTACTTGCATATTGAAACATGAAGCAAACAATATCATTTGGAAGCTCTAAACAGACATTCTCCCTTTATAAAAATATGAATAATATGTAATATACATGTTACATGTGGGAGCTCTGGTGGCAGAGTGCCTAAGGCATTTGATTGCTAACCAGAAGGCTAGCAGTTCAAACCCACCTTGGAAGGAAAGTTGAGCAATCTACTTCCATAGTGAACCGCCTGGAAACCCAAGGTGGGGTTGCTATGAGTCGGATCTGACTCAACGGCAGTGAGTTTAATGTTTTGGTTTTATATGTTACATGTATATTAAATAGTACAGTAAAACCTGTGAAAACCAGAACTCATTGGGACTGCCTTGTTTTTCCAGGTCTCACAAGTTTTCTGCCTTTGACAGGGTAATAGTCTTTCCACTTTTCTGTTGCTTGTTTTGTGGAAAACATTTGTGTTTGCTTCTTCGAGAGGTTCCAGCTTTTGCTTTTTTTACTGCATAATAATATAATTTATTCAACAAATACTCTTTTCATTACTTATGTGTTAGACCCTGAATTAGGAGTGGGGAAACAATAAATTGCAAAAGAGTTATTTTTATCACCATGGAGCCCACAATCTAGTGAATGGCTATTTAGATATAATTCTTACTAATGAATAATCTATAGTATATTAAGGTGTTATTGTCTCAGTAATGATCATATTGTTGTTACGAGCCATCAGTTTCAACTCATAGCAACCCTTTGTACAGCAGAATGAAACACTGCCTGGTTCGTACCATCTTCACAGTCATGGCTATACTTGAGCCCATCATCACAGCCATGTGTCAGTCCATCTCACTGAGGGTTTTCCCCTTTTCACCAACCTTCTACTTTACGCAGCATAATATCCTTCTTCATGGACTGGTCCCTTCTGACAACGTGACCAAATGAGAGATGAAGTTAGCAATTCTCGCTTCTAAGGAACATCCCAGCCATACTGTCTCCAAGACAGACTTGTTTGTTCTTCTAGCAGTCCATAGTACATTGAAGATTTCTCAACAATACCACAATTCAAATCCATCAATTCTTCTGCAGTCTTCCTTATTCATTGTCCAGCTCTCACATCCATATAAAGCTACTGAAAAGACCATGGATTGGGTCAGACACACCTTAGTCTTCACTCCTTTTCCCTTCTCTTTTCTTACTTTCTTCCCATGCTAAGAGTTGTATACACAAGCGTGAACAACCCAATGTTTAAGTACTCCCTTAGAATATTAATCTGTGAATTCTTCACTTTCTACCATACTACGTAATATGAGACTCCAGCAGATTCTGTGAATATCTACTTAGAATAATCTAAACTAACTTGGTTTAAATCAGGAGAAAATATTTGAATATTAGTAGACTTAAATCAAATACATCTTGCCTCAGATATAATGTATAAGCTATCTAATTTTTACTGATGTTTTAGATGCAGACCTCTCTGAGATGAAGAGCAGTGAACCTTACGACTATAAATTTGTGAAATGGATGACTAAAAATAAGGTAATGTTTATTGCATTTTGCAATACTATGTTGTAGTTTATAGTTGATTTATGAAGGAAACCTGCTGAAATGCTTTGAAAAATGTTAACTGTAGTTCTGTTATATGATATTCCACTGGTGGTTATGTGGGGGATTTAAAAACATTTTTCATTTTGAAAATTGCTATGAATATTTAAAAGCATCTGTGTATTTTCTAACCTTTTTGATCTTAAAATTAATATTTGAAGTGTAAATAGTTTTCCTCATATAAATCCATATTTATTTTGCAGAAACTGTCAGCCATTCCTGTTTCAGCATTTTGTAACTCAGAGGCCAAATTACAGTTTGAGAAATTTGTGCGGTTTTGCTTCATTAAAGTAAGTCCCTGTTCTACTCAAAATAAATTTATAATATCCTTCCTTCTCATTTATAAAGCACCAGCTTTTTTCTATGGTTAGGAATGAAGTGCTCACATGCAATTTTCAAATTTTGCTGCCATGATTTTAAATGCCTACCAAAACAAAATTCAATACTCTTTGAAAGAAGACAACATAATCCAGGTTTCTTACCATGTAGCAATCACACTAAAATATAATAAAAAAAATGACTAGACATACAAAGAAACAAGAAAATGTTATATATAATAAAGAAAAAAAATAGACTCCATGGTGACTTAGATATAGAGATCAACACACAAAGACTTTAAGGCATCTATTATAAATATGTTCAAGAGAGTAAAGGAAAATATGGTCACAAATGAGTGAACAACAGAGGGATTAAAACTATAAAAGTGAACCAAATAGAATTCTAGAATTTAAAATTGTAACATCTGATATGAAAAATATGTGTGACTTAACAGATGATTGAATATATCAGAAAAAAGGTTGATTTTAATACAGATCCATAGAAATTATCCAAATTAAAAAAAGAGAAGTATCAGTTTTGCAGAATTAATAGAGCCTTGGAGATCTATGAGCCAGTATCAAGTGGTTTAAACATGCATATAATTGGAATACCAGAAAGAGGGGGAATGTGACGGGAAAATTTTATTTTCCCATTTTTAGTGAAAAACGTCAGCTTACAGATCTAATAAAGTTCCTAACAAGACTGATACAAAGAAAACCATGCTAGGCATATCATAGTCAAAAGATAAAAGAAGAAATCTTAAAAGTAGCCAAAGAAAACTACACACAGCCTACATAAGACAGAGATGCAAATGATAACTCAGTTCTTGATACAGCAGTGGAGGCCAGAATACAATGGAGTGATGTCTTACAAGTGATGTATCATCAGTATTTGGAAATTGTGGCCTTAGTGATAGAAATGATGGCAGAGATCACATGATAGAATTTTGCAAGACCAACAACTTATTCATTGCAATACCTTTTTTCAACAACATAAACAGTGGCGATACATGTAGACCTCCCCAAATGGAATACACAAAAATTAGATCGACTACATCTGTGCAAAAAGGCAGTAGAGAATTTCAGTATCATCAGTCAAAACAAGGCCAGGAGCTGACTGTGGAACAGACTTTCAGTTGCTCATATGCAAGTTCATGTTGAAGCTAAAGAAAATTAAAACAAGTCCACGAGAGCCAAAATACAATCTTGATTTTTATCCCACCTGAATTTAGAGACCATCTGAAGAATAGATTTGACACATTGAACACCAGTGACCAAAGACCAGACAAGTTGTAGGATGACATCAAGAACATCATATGTGAAGAAAGCAAACTGTCATTAAAAAGACAAGAAAGGGAGAAATGAATGTTAGAAGAGACCCTGAAACTTGCTCTTGAATGTAAAGTACTTAAAATGAATGTAAGAAACACTGAAATAAAAGAACTAAACAGAAGATTTCAAAGGGCAGCTTGAGAAGACAGTATTATAATGAATGTGCAGAGGCCTAAAGTAAGAAAACCAAAAGGTAAGAACATGCTCGGTGTTTCACAAGCTGAAAGAACTGAAGAAAAAATTCAACCCTCAAGTTGCAATATTGAAGGATTCTATGGGCAAAATATTGAACAATGCAGGAAGCATCAAAAGATGGAAGTAATATACAAAGTCCCTGTATCAAAAATATTGGTTGATGTCCGACTATTTCAGATCAAGATCAAGAACCGATGGTGTTAAAGGAAGAAGTCCAGGCTGCACTGAAAGAACTGGCAAAAAATTAAGGCTTCAGGAATTGATAGAATACCCATGGAGATGTTTCAGCAAAGGGATGCAGCACTGGAGGTGCTTCCTTATTTATGCCAAGAAATTTGGAAGATAGCTACCTGCCCAACTGACAGAGATCAATATGTGTACCCATTACAAAGAAAGGTGATCCAACAGAATGTGGAAATTATCAAGCAATATCATTAATATCATATGTAAGTAAAATCTTGCTGAAGATAATTCAAAAACAGTTGCAGCAGTGTATTGACAGGGAACTTTCTGAAATGCAAGCTGGATTCAGAAGAGGACATGGAATGATTAATATCATTGCTGATGTCAGGTAGATCTTAGCTGAAAGCAAAGAACACCAGATGTCTACCTGTGTTTCATTGACTATGCAAAGGCATTCGATTGTGTGGATCATGACAAGCAATGGATAACATTGTGAAGAATGGGAATTCCAGAGCACTCAATTGTGCCCATGAGGAACCTGTACATAGACCAGGAGGCTGTCGTTCAAACAGAGCAAGGGGATACTACATGGTTAAAATCAGTGTTGTATCCTTTCACCATACTTTTCAATCTGTATGCTGAGCAAATAATCCCAGGAGCTGGACCATAAGAAGAATGCGGCATCAGGATTGGAAGAAGACTAATTAACAACCTGCGGTATGCAGATGACACAACCTTGCTTACTGGAAGTGAAGATGACTTGAAGCACTTACTGATGAAAATCAAAGACTGCAGTCTTCAATATGGATTAGACCTCAACGTAAAAGAATACGAAAATCCTCATGACTGGACTAATAAGCAACATCACAATAAATGGAGAAAAGATTGAAGTTGTCAGGGATATCATTTTACTTGGATCCATAGTCAACACCCATGGAAGCTGCAGTCAGGAAATCAGACATTGTATTGCACTGGGAAAAGCTGCTGCAAAAGACTTCTTTAAAGTGTTAAAAAGTAATGTGAGCCTAAACCAAGCCATTGTATTTTCAGTTGCCTCATATGCATGTGAAAGCTGAATAATGAATTAGGAAGACCAAAGAAGACTTCTTGTGTTGTTGATATGTGCCCTGGAGTCTACCCAACTCATAGCGACCCTTCCTTGGGTTTCCAAGGCGATATCACTAGGGAGGTAGATTGCCCCATCTTTCGTGCCTTTGAATTGTGGTGTTGACAAAAGAATACTGAAAATACCAGTAGAATACTGAAAATGCCAGAAAAACAAATGTCTATCCTGGAAGAAGTGCAGCCAAAATGCTCCTTGGAAGCCACAATGGCCAGACTTCATCACACCCACTTTGGCCATGTTGTCAGAAGGGACCACTCCTGGAAGAAGGATATCATGCTTGGTAAAGTAGAAGGTCAGCGGGGAAGGGGAAGACCCTCAATGAGATGAATTGGCACAGTGATGGGCTCAAGCATAGCAAGGATTGTGAGGATGGCACAGGACCAGGCAGTGTTTTGTTCTTGTACATGGGGTCACTGTGAGTCAAAGCTGAGTCCAAGGCACCTAACAACAATACAACAACATATATATATATATATTCAACCTAGAGTTGTATAGCCAGGAAAATAAAAATGAAGCTGAGACAATTCACTGGCAGACCTGTAATAAAAAAAGTTTTTAGAACATGTTTTTAAGTTTTTATTCTTACTAAAAACAGTCTTACTGTGATCAAGACACACTCTGTGCCAACTCACTTACCTAAACTTAGTCATATAAAGTAAACTTTATTTTCAACTTTTAGAGACAGTCTATTGGGCAAACTTTAGAAGACTTGTCCAGAATATAATATGAATATTAGCAACCTAACAATGTAAAAGTTTAGTTACTTGAAATGTTGTTGTTGTTGTTGTTGCTGTTGTTGTTAGGTGCAGCCGAGTCACCTCTGACTCATTGTGATCCAGTGCACAACAGAACGAAACACTACCTGATCCTGCGTCATCCTCAGAATTCTTACTGTGCTTGATCCCATCACAGCCACTCTATCAGTCCATCTGGTTGAGGGTCTTCTCCTTTTTCGCTGACGCTCCACTTTGCCAAGCATGATAGCCTTCTCCAGGAACTGGTCCCTTCTGAAAACATCACCAAAGTCAGTGAGACAAAGGCTAGCTATTCTTGCTTCTGAGGAGCATTCTGCTGTACTTCTTCCAGGACAGATTTGTTCATTCTTCTGACAGTCCATGGTACTTTCAGTATTCTTCACCAACACCACATTTCAAAGGCATCTATTCTTATTTCATCTTCCTTATTTATTGTCCAGCTTTTGCATATGAGGTGATTGAAATACCATGGTTTGTGTTAGGTGCACCTTAGTTTTTAAAGTGATATCTTTGCTCTTTAACACTTTATATATATACCTTTTAATTCTTTTAAAAAAAAGTGTGCTTTGGGTGCAAATTTATGAAGCAAATTTGTTTTACATTCAACAGGTCATGCTCATTTGATTTCATGGTCCTGATTACCATCCCCAACCACAAAAAAACTCTCCTCCCCTCCCCTCCCTGTGACTACCCCCTCCCTGTGCCCTTTTTATCTACACATTCCTGTCTGTCCAGCCTTCCCTCTATGTGAATGCTGCCCCTCTCATGTCTCATAACTGATTGATCTAAGGGGTGCATCTCCCTACAGTAGGTGGGTCCATAGCCCTGGGGTAGACGTTCTGTATGTAGGTATTTCTGCTGTTGGGCTGAGAGCCAATCCATGGAAATAAGTCCACTTCTAGGACCAAAGGGCAACCTGAGGCCAGAGTGTCAGGGATTCCACCAGTTTCTATCTGACCAGTAATTCTGGTCATTCTTGTGTTGTAAAATTTTGTTCTACAGTTTTTCTCCCACTCTATTCAGTATGTCCAGTTTTGATCCTTTTCCATGCATTTGGCATTGGTAGCTGGGCACCATCTTCTGGTTCTTCTGATCTCGGGGTTGTGAAGGCTGAGGTCCTTGTGTTCCATCTTATCTTTGGACTAATTGTTTCCAGATGACTTTGATTTTCTTTACTCTTCTTTGCTCAGATGAGAGGAGTTGCATCTTAGATGGCCACTTGAAAGCTTTTGAGACCCCAGTCACTACTCACCAAAGTAGGTTGTAGAACAAGATTTTTATGTACTATGTTGTGCCAATTGAGCATAATGTCCCCCAAGACTATGGTCCTGAGTCCACAGACCCAGTGATTCTCTCTCTCAAGGTGTTTGATTGTCTCTGAG